TTGGTGAAAAGCAGTAACTTAAGTTTTAGAGTTTTCTTCATAACTCTCTCTTAATACCATTTCTCCATCCATTAGACAGAGTACTGAATACTCCATTACAAAGAATGAGCATTTTTAACAGCTTTTCCTTAAATTAATATGACAGGTACTAAAGTGCAATGTTGTTAATCTTTTCCTAAAAGCTTAATGTTGTTATTTAGTTGTTTACTAATAAATCAAAGAAAACATACCTTGTCATTTTAACTTAGACATAGATGGATGAATATTCTGTCTTTGGAGATGGAGAGAAGATCCTATAGGAACATGAAATTATTAGTTTTTAAATATATATATTACACATATATACACATTACTGTAAATAGTATACTTGAAAAGTTGAAATTGTAACAATTATATATGAAGCAATTTTCAAACTACAATGTAAATACTGTTTTATCTTTGCAATGTTATTTGACCTTCTTGCTTCTTTGTTGCTTTATTGAATGTCAACCAGAATAGAATACTTCATGGTGGTTTTGTAATTTTATATGTAGTGGGTTTCCAATCACATTTCAGTCTCTTGTGTCCATCCCCTCTGGATATTTGTTTATTTAAAATTTTGGTACAGCCTGTCTTCAGTTTCCTGAATGCTTCTTTTATCTTAGTTTGGAAAAAAAAATATTGTGCTTGGACTGACAATTTGGCATGGCAGACTACCAGGAAATCATATAATATCCACATTTAAGATAATGATTTTTATTTTCCCCCTTTTCTGTATTCCCTATCAGTGTATTGTGGCAATAAATGCAAAACAAATATTTAATGAGCGAGTGAAGTAAAGATAGAATAGGCCGTTTTGGAGAGATGATTTATAAAATATAGCTAAATGTCTAAATTTAGGTTTCCCTTTTGCCTCATCATCTGAGTTCTTTAATAAAAATTCTTTTATTGTGGATGATGACAAGAATAAAGATACAATAGACTTATATCAGTCTAATTTTGTGCCAAGGTTTGCTTTGGTGTTCATCATTTTTTATTCCACAAAAAGAAAAATATAAACTTGAAAAGTCAGGAAAACTTGTCCAGAAGGACATGTATAATTCTGTGTTTCCTGAAGGAGTTCATTTTTGAATCAGTCTTATAGAATTGTTTGCTTACAAAGTTTTGGCCTGATAATTATGTAACAAGCTGGTGCCTTCCCAAGTTATTAAGTTTTTAGAATCATTTTCAAAACTGTGATTATTTGGTTTCATAAAATGTTAATGTTAGTTATGAACTATTCATTTCAGCATTTCTCTTGTGTTCAAGTATCAAGAAGATTTAAAAGTAAGCATATTGAGCAAAATAAACAATACTGCAAATTAAATATTTCCATTGCTCGAAGGTATGTCATCATCACCATTAATAATAATTTATTGACAAACTTTTGAGATGATTAGGTAATGATAGTATTTGATTATAAATAACTTCCCTTTTAGCAGAACTTGTATAAACTAGTTTAAGTGATAAAATTGTACTGTTAATGCATAATAATTAATCTAAACATATTGATGAGAAAGTTACAACAATAAAACTTGAAAGTTTTATTGAAACTTGAAGTTTGCTTAAAATGTTTTACTTTTAGGTATAGCAACTTTTGGTGAGCCAAATCAGCTCAAAGATGATAGGATCAAGTCACCAAATTGTCCTTTTAGGACCACAAAGAATCCATTCTTTATGTCCATTAAGTGGTGTTGCTCATGTCTTTAGAAGAATCTAGTCTCATTTAAGTTTTTGAGAGAGCTAGGAAGAGATGGGATGTCATGCTATAAAAATGCTGCAGGGGGGCAAGAAGAAGGGCCAGCAGGGACACAGAAGTGTTGGCAGTGAAAGGTAGAAGAAATTAGGTTTAATTTGATCTCAAACCACAGGAGTACCATTTTAAGTCAAGTAGCTAATGTTGCCCCACCATATGAAAGCACTGCCCCCTCCCAAACTTGACCTTCTATCTCCTTTTCTAATTTCTGCTAATGGTACTGCCATTCTCCTTTTTACCAAGGCTGGAAATCTCACATTTTTTTCAAAATCCCATCTCTACTTTATCAATAAAGCTAAAGATTTGCCAAGATCTGAATATTTAAAATGACACACCTATCATTTCCTTTCATTTATTCCGCCACCTCTCATCTAATCTTTCCATCCAGCGCTTCCCTGTATTCTGAATAGCTAGCTTCTAAAATGCTGCCAATTTGGTAGCCTAAAGCACACATTCCATCATTGGTCCTCCCTTGATGGCAGAATAAAGTGCACCAAGCTTTACTTAGCTTCACATTCACAGTCCAGCTGGATCACTTGATCAAGATTGTAATATCAGCTGTTTTCTTAAACTTTTTTGTTCCACATTCAACCATTAAGCTCACCTCACCATTGCTCAATCTCAATACTCTCTACTTCATTTGGGAAATTTCTTCAGCCTAGGATGCCATCATGTTTTTTATTGGAAATACTATACACTGTTCATAGTCTATTTCAAATATTTCCTTTCCCTGGTTCTTATCTTAAATAAGTGATCTTTCTCTTAAAAGTCTATGATACAATATTTATGCCATTTATTCTACTTTTTATCCATCATTTTTATCCATATCCTCTCAATTGAAGACATGTTAACTTTGTGTTTCAAATAGCAATGCTAGGCCTCCCTTGGTAGCACAGTGGTTGAGTGCTGGGCTGCGAGGCTGCCCACAGCCTCTGCAGTGTCGGTTCGATCCCTGGCCACTGGGTGAGGGTCCCACGTGGTGCGACAGACCTCTCCTGTCTTGCCTGCTGCTCCCCTCAGTAGTGCATTTCATCAGTCTGGCTGTTCTGTTCCCTGCTCTGGCTCTGGTGAATTCTCTCACCCTCCCGCGCTTCTAACTGAACCCAGTGCTTGTAAAAATAAATAAATAAATCTTAAAAAAAAAATAGTAATGCTATTTAGCCTTTATCAAGTAAATAAATGCATACTGTATCTGTGAATGTATTTCCTTGTAATCATTTTAGGGTGGCAGAGCAAAATGGGAACTCTTTTGTTTAAATATTCATAATTATTTTCCAAAATCATCATAATATAGTAAATCAGTAGAAAAGGACTACAATGAATAATGCATAATGTCAGAAAAATCACCAGGGACATTTAGTGTCTTACCTTGATCGTCTCACAATTTTATTTAAAACCAATGTGTTAAAAATGATTTGTCATTTTGGTGTTTCTTTTGTTCTAACTTATTTACTACCTTTATGAATCCTTTGTTTTATGTTAGATTTGTCTTAGCTTACAATTTCTCTTTTGATATTTTGTGAATTTTGTTCAGACATTGTTCTTTTTTTTGCCAAAGTGGGCCATAAAGCACTTGGGGATTTAATTGTTTATGAAAAGTTTTATTTTGAATACGATTTTAAGAGGTAGAAATAAGGAAGTGGCATTTCAGGCTGTAAGAATGGTGTTAGTAAAGGTAGATCAGGTAAAAAATGTTGGAGTCATATGGAAGTTAAAGTTTTATTTGATAAGGTGGCAAAAATATAGGTGTTCAAGGCTAGGAAATGGAAAAATCTCACGTAAGATTAGTTTATAGGGGCCTGAGACCATTTTGGCAATTGGGAAGTGAGCTAACTAAGTCTTCCTTTTTAGGTGCATATATGGTGGGATAAAGGGTGGACTGAACATATGAAAAGTGAAGATAAGAAAACAAAAGTCTATTGTAACAGATTAGGAAGTAAGCTCTAAATGGGATAGTGTGGAGGCTGAGGACTGGAGCTGTGGCAAAGGAAGGCTGAGAGTGTGTTTGATTCTCGGTGTCAGCACATCTTTGTGATGTTTCTGTAGAAGTATGGGGAGAGCTGAATGGGGAACACAGGAGGATGGGAACACTGGAAGCTATGATAATGAAATTAGTTTCTAACCCATGGAATCGGAAATCTGTATAGAAGATTTACAGCAAGAGGAAAGGGGTGAAATTAAAAACTCTGGAAGGACAATTAAAAAGAGGACTTGGGGTGGAAACTGAGAAGAAATATAGGAGGCTGATGTAAGGAGAATCCCTTTGTGTGATAAGTGTCAGGCACCCACCTGCAGCACACCTAACTAGGGACTGTAAGCCAGGAGAGTAGCAAAGAAAATTCAAGTCATGTGGATCCTGAGAAAACTACCTGAATTTGCAATGATGAGGACATGATGAGAAATTGTGAAGTGAAGGGTTACCTTTGTTAGGTAGGGCTGGGAGCCAGGTTGAACGGTGAGTAGCAGTTGGTGAGGAGCAATTTATACCCTGTTCTTGCCTATGAATCACTCATATTAAGCATTTATCTTATCTGCACAGATTTGGAGATTGTTATTCAATGTTCTCATTTAGCTGTTTTTATGCAAAAATGAGTCATTTTCTTTTTGTTTAAATTCATAAAGAATAGCTTCAAAAAGCTTTAAGTCTTATTGTCATTCTTTAAAATATTGTCTCAAGCCTTTCATACTCATTTTACATGTAAGCCTTTTTAATGTATGTTAAAGAGGACCTGATTAGCGAAGGATCATGAGGCCACATTTTCTTGACCTGCTTATTATGAAATTTTCATGTAGCATTGCAGGACAGGTTCACATGTGACATTCAACTTTTTTGACCTTCGCTCCACTATAATAATCTCTCACAGGTTCTCTAAGGGTATATCAAACATGGAAAATTGTTTGCAATGGATCCTGAAAATAAGTTTCGTCTTAATCAATTTAATAACTATTTTTAATGTGGCATGGCATAACCTAAACGTGTACCTATAAAACACTCAATTTGGAGATTAGTCATCAAACTGGTCAAGTTAATAGAAATGCAAGGCTAAGTTGGTTCCTTCCTCTTATTCAGACTTTCCATATATGAGCTTATGAATCATAACAAAAAAGGCCAAATAAGCTTGAATGCCAATTTTTTTTTAACTCAACCATTAAGTATTCCTCATTCTTTCCTGGTTTGTATATCTGTGTGTTTGTGTGTTATCTATACTCTTGATAACACACTTTTAGCTTTGCGCAGTGGCAGTATCGTAGCCAATGAGGTTTATCCGAGGCGCGATTATTGCTAATTGAAAACTTTTCCCGATAACACACTTTTGTACGTTCTTTTACTATTTTCATTCTATGTCTGGAATTATATTTACTTCTGTGCACACCATCTTTTCTTCTTCACCAAAACTCCCTTAGAGGCTGGATTTCTTTGTTGTCTCTATGACAATCACCTCATTGTCTCATATAACATCCAATACTTTGCTCCAAGAACAGACTTAAGAGAGAGTTGTTAAAACAACTGATCCAAACAATATCTTGATAAAGTAGAATTACTGTATTTTGTATGTCTGATTGAGATGTATTATATCCTTGAGGCAAAGAATGTTTCTGAGTTGTCTTTTTCTTCATTCTTCCTGCATCTGCTTATTACCTTGCCCATGGTTCAGTCATTCATGAAGCAATGTGTAACTGTTCCTTGCAAGTGACAATGATAGGCACAGGGTTAAGCATTTAGGATGATGCTTTACATATATCACACATGACAAAGTTCTTTCCAATAAGATATAAATGGAAGTAGTTTATGAGACTTCTGGGAAAGGTGATTAAAGGGAGCTGTCTCAGTTGAGAGGGCCTAGTCTTGGCTTTTCTGGCTTTCTCTTTTATTCTGCATGTCACAGCAATGTGATAGCTGGAGCTTCAGGAGCTATATTGGACTTTGAGGTGATCTTACTACTATAATTCATATGCTGGAATGATGGAACAGAAAGAGTCTAGTTCGCTTACAGAACTGACTTACCTATCTTAGTTTGCTAATATTTGGGCTTCCTTATGTAAGAGAGAAAGAAAGCTCTATCTTATGTTGAGTTCCATTTATTTTAGAATTTTTCAGTGAATGTATCCAAGTCTAAGCCTATTAGTAAAAGGACTATGTAAAACATTTTGTATCAACCCCCTTTGGAACATAGAAAACCATTGTGGACATAATAAATCCTTTAAAGGCATGGTTTAATTTCTTGGCAGTAAAATAAGCTGAGTAAGGATGTTATCACCCCAATGTTATTGGCTCTGGCACCAGAAAAAGGATCAAAATAAAATGTAATTTCTTATTTCTTGAACCCAAGCAATACCTTTTGAGGGAGAACTAAACATGCAGTAAATAGTAAATCTCAATTTGTATGTTTTTTTCCTGTGATGTGACTATGGACAAGGCGTCGTCACATCTGTGGAAAGGGGATTGCCTCTACGGTTTGGCTGGTTGTGATGAATATTAAGTGATTAAATGAGGTAACATAAGAAGTAACATATGTTAGTTCTTTTTTCCCCCTTTCTTTTCTCTAAGAATAAGAAATTGGAAAATGATGAAGTAAGCCAGACTGATTCAGATCATTAAATGAGGCATTTTTCTTAAGCATTGTTATTGATGTTTTTCTTGGTACTAGTGTCATATTTATTGTCAGAAGTGTTATATTTATTGTTTTGAACCCCCAAATATCTTCCTTCCTTTTTTGCCAACATACTTACCTTCTATGCTGTTCTAAAAAAAGTTAGTTTTGAAAATTATTTTAAGTAGATATGCTTTTGTTGGTAACATAGACATTGATCATTTTTCTTTTGGGTGTGTCTAAAATTTAAAATGTTCTATGTCAATGCTGTAAGATTCTTCCTAATGTACTGTCATTCATACTGACTTATAAGCTGTTTTCTTAATTAGCTTTCTCATCTGGTTCCATGTAGATTTCTACATAGCTGTTTCACTGGCATTTCACTTTTAAATAATAAAAATTTTATTCTTATGAAATTTTCATTTTCATTTCCCCATACTCCCAATTTTATAATTGTAACATAAACAACATCTAATTATATTTATTTCCAGAAGTATTCAGATGTACACATTTTTCCTTAAGGTTTTAAATTCATATGGTCGTCAATATATAACAGGTGGCAGTAGAGAAACAGCTATCCAGAATTAATTATTTTCATCATACATTTAATATTTTGAAATTAATTTATTAATTTTTATAAAAAAGGAAAGTAGAACAGAGTCTGGTACAGACTAGAAAAATAGAGAATGATATGAATAATTAACATATGGGTTTCAGAAGAGATCTTCATTAATCATTAGCAACTGTTATAAATATTTTAGATTTTTATTAAAAATCTGATGCCAAATATTTTATAATTTGCATGTTGAAGATTGAGAGAGTGGTACTTGGGCAACATTTTATAAAATAAATTTAGTCAGCTGGAATTTCAGAACTGAACTTACAAATTCAGGTTTTGTTCATTTCATCAATAATAAATAACCTATAAATAATTGTCAAAAATAACATAATCATCATTTTGAAAACTTGGTTTGCTTTTTATTTTAAATCTGTTGTAAGCTTTGTGAAAAATATAGATTAAAGGGGTATTTGAAATCCTTTTTCTTATAAAAATTATTGTGAAACTGCTAAATATGTAACTAATGTATTTAAATATTTTTCATCAAATCTTTTCATTATAAAGTGATCATAAAGAAAAGACTTGAAGGACTACACTGTCAGGATAAAGTAAATTCTCAATATGGCTTGCTCAGCTCTTCATGATCACTGGCTTCTACTAACTTTCTCTGACTTCACCTCAAACTGCTCCCAATCATCACGCACTTCTGTGCTTGCCCTGTGCCCTGGTGCTTTCTTTTCCTCTGTTGTGCAAATTGTGTCCTCTCTGCCCAGAATCCCCCTCTCCCACCTTCCACTTTGCCTGATTAATTCCTATTCTCCTATAGCTTCGGCTGAGAGGTTATCTCCTGTGTAAGACTTCCTGAGTTTCAACCTGGATGAGGAATCCTGCCTATGTGTTCCCAAAGCAACCTGTGCTTCCCAATGCTACTGAAGTAGGTTGTTTTGAAGATCTGGGTTCCAAGAGTGAGGTCCTTTGGTTAACTCTTGGAAATCTCCCCTTTCAGCAGCACATGGCGAGTTTCTCCATGAGACAGAGGCATTAGTTATATCCAAAAGGGCAGGTTTATTATAAATAGGGGGAGAAGAATAAGGGACACTTGCATAGACACAAGTGGGCAGGAAGATCTGTCCTTTGGATGGGGCAGCCTTAGGTTTTATCATCTTGTTTGGTGGGGAGGGCTCATTTCTGTGGAGTGGTTCATTTTTGTTAATTTTGAATAACTATGCAGAATTTGAAAAGGACCAGAGATCCTCGAATGGTCCTCAATCTCCATATCCCCACCTCTGGTCTGCGCCTCCTGGTACTTTCTGCAGCAGCCTGATACTTGCTATAGCAGTTGGCATGTAAGGATTTTTGAATTCTATAGCTCGGTTAATGGCTATGTGAATCCTTTCTACCCCCACCTCCTTGTGTGTGCCGGTTTCTGGTCTTATGATGCCTCCTTTCCAAACTTTCTATTCTTAGCCTCCATCAGTAGTAACTAGTATGTCCTCACCATGTTCTACTGCAGCTCCATGCTGCCTCCACCTATAGATCATCAGCCCCTGAGGGAAGACTGATTCTTCCCTACCATGGTAGACCCCCATCTGCCAGAATACTGGCACATAGTAGGCAATCAATTCATGTCATGAATGAATGAAAGTGAAAAAAATGAGACCTCCTCAGCTTCAGTGTACAGATGCATGTAAAATGCTAGCTCTGACCACATTTGTTCCTTGTTATTGAACTAGGTTTCAGCATGGCCAATTAGATTGCAACCACCTTTAAGAATAAGTGCAGGCTGTTGCTTGATTTATTAAGTCACAGTTTTGGTGCCAGTCGTGAAGTTGATTGTGATGGTCAGAAAGACAATGCCATATTTATTTCTCAGTTCCATTTAGAAAGATCAACATCGAGATAAAATAATAAAAATATAAAATTTACCAAGATTGCATGAAACACCAATATTTAAATTAAAAATATGAATTCAAATGGCTTTAATGAACAGCTGGATGTTTTAAGGAAAATATTTTAGTGGAAGTTGGCAGCAGAATAACTTAAATAGCTTGATTATGAATTTAATTTAAAAAATGTTATCTCAGCATTACTCCATTTTTTTAATGTTAGTTTTACAGTTGTTTAATTGCACTTAAACTTAAAATAAAGTTGGGGTAAACGCAGGAGACTAAACATACCACAAAGAGATTGTTAGACTTTCTTTTCAAAGTCCGCAGTTATTTTTTTTTCCTTTCTATATTTATCCTTCAACAGTAATATTAAAATAAGCTGGAGGAGGTGAACCATGTAATCACTCCTCCACTGCCCTGTTTGAGCCACCCTATCATCTAGGTCTGTCTCCAGCCCAGAAGCAGGCTGGACACATCTTTAGGCCACCAGACCACCAGGTGGGACACCGGAGGTGGCGAGGCCACCAGGGGTGGCAATCAAATCCAGTGTGTCAAATCTGCAGCTGGGAACCCATCCACATCTTCACGACCTTCTGTGTTTTCTGACCATTTAGAGAAAACTTCATCTCACTCATCTGCTTTGATTTTATTTTCCTCTCTCTTTGTACACTCCTTATTCCCTTCTGCCCATGTTGATTTCTTTTGCCCTTTCTGTCCTATCATTTGCCTGATGCTTACCACCTTATTTCTTTGTAGTGAGTGATTTATTACTACTCCCTTAAGGAATGAACCATGTGCCATCCCCACTGCTAGGGAATATCAGAAAAAAGAAAAAATCCTACAAATGAATAACTACACTGATTACTTCCTCACACTGGCTGCTTCCGGGTGTTTTGTTCTGAGAAACTGGCCCCTGAATTAAGAGAGGCTGGGGGGAGGGTCAGAAAAGCTGTGTAGGTCATGGTTGGGGGCACCAATGGCAGCTGCTGGGGGAACATGGCTTTAGGATGGTTGATACCCAGCTTGTGAGACAATACAAGATGAGAAATCAAATAGCTAAGGGAGATGAACTATGGCTTGACTCACACCCATCCTTGCCCCATCCTTGCAGGAGGAAATGTTGCAGAAAGAATGGTTCCCTATAGCTCTTTCATAGACCAGGAGTTTCATCCAGCTGTTCATTAAAGCCATTTGAATTCATATTTTTAATTTAAATATTGGTGTTTCATGCAATCTTGGTAAATTTTATATTTTTATTTTATCTCGATGTTGATCTTTCTAAATGGAACTGAGAAATAAATATGACATTGTCTTTCTGACC